ATTCTTTAATTTTACGTTCTATTCTTTTTTCTGGTTCTATTTATATTCCGTATATTTTCTGTTTCTTATGTACTAGACTTTATTTCTATTGTTTTTCATCATGTCATGTTTTTCAGGACGATGACGGTAATATCTCCACACAAAAGTTCTTTTCTTTTTTTATCTGTGAATTTCCATGATTTATCAGGAAGTATGGTAGAGTGATTTCGCGTTGCTTTTTCCACACTTTCACTTCAGAGTTGTTCTTCCCCTAGACTTGCTGTCACTCATAGCTAGAGAAATCTATTTAATCAAATATTCTTCTTTTCCCTCAGCTAAGGGTTAACTAAAAGGGTAGACTGAGTTATCTAGCCTTGGGTGGTATCAGCCTAGGAGAAAGCCTTGAATAAATTCAAAACCATAGAGAAATCAAAGCGAAAAAAATCACTATTTTTACCAAGACATGCAATTTCTTACATAATAATACTGAAAACGATTCAGTATTTCCCGTGTCCTGATGGAAAATTGTTTTAAAAATAGAAAGCTATATCTTTGTATCAATACCTCGTGTATTATGTGCCGAATCTATTCAGGACATCGATGATCATGGCACACCACAGTTTCCTATCCTTGGTCGCTCTTAAATTTGTCTTTTTGCCATCCACTTCAATACATGTTCTGTGATCTCTTTTCCCAGATTTGTTAGGTAAATGTTGTGGAGTGATTCCACAGTGGAGGCTTGTATTTGTACTAAGTCGGTCCTAAAATAGGTTCGACGTACAAAACGTTAAGAACTTGATATAATAGGTATAACGCAGAGTAATCTAGTTGTGGTCGCTGATACTTTAGTATTCGACTAACTGTCATCTGACATCGACTGACTGACTGACCGACCCCCTCGTTACTCTTACTACTCCTACTTATTATAGGTGGGAGAGCCTGTTAACTATAGAATAGGGTTGTTCCACTATAACAGTAGGTTACTCGCTTCTATTATATTTCCGTCATGCTTTCAATATGTCCTTTGTGGGTCAAATATTCTGAGCCGCTCATCCTCATTATGCGTCCTAGAAGCTTCACCACTTTGTTTCTGAATTTATATGTCTCCATTTTGTTTCCGATTTCTTTAAAACTTCTTCGTTACTTAGATATACCAGAATTTTCTGTAGAACCACATTTTTAGTGCCATATTTGTAGAAACACATTTTTCTTTCTTTGACATAGCTTTAAGAGATAACTTTGAAATTCGTAATCGTTTCAGCTATGTATCGACCTACACATTTTTGACTGAAGACTAATCTGAATTATGAGCATGTCTGCCACACCTTCAACACCATGGAATTGGAACTAATCCGCTGACAAGAGACATTTATTCAACTCTATAACACACAGGTTTTTTCTGGTATCTTTCATAAAAATGGTTTAAATGAACGTTTCTTGTCTTGATGCACCTAAAAACTGAATCGTGAGGGCTGAGAATAGATTTCCAATCATGAGGGGGACAATTATTTAAATCCTCTTCCTAAACAATGTCTGCACGTATACAAACACAAATGTGAAAAAAAAAAAATGAATCTTGGTTTGGTTTGTTTTGTTTCACGGTATATCAACCTCAATGGGTTATTTAATGCCGACAATATTTTTTTCCACAAAATGTACTGTTGATAATATTTAAAAAAAAAAATGTATTGCTGGTAATGTTTTTCTTTTTTTTAAAAAAATGTATGCTGGTAATAATATCTTGTAGGGAATAATTTTATCTTCAAAAATGTATTTCTAGTAATAATTTTTCAAAAAGATATTGCTGGATTTGAACCCTATTTTTCAAATTTCATAGTGTTTTGAGTTAACTATTTGCCCATAACTAGGACCCTAACAGGTGCTACCTCCTTGTTCAGGGTGGACCTGGGAACAACATCAATTAAAAGGTGTTTCCACGCTCCTCAAAACCTCCTGATCAAAGGCCTTGCTGTCGGATTTACTTAATGGTTTTACCCAGGACGCGGATGTAATTTATCATCTTACCCAGGACGCGGATGTAATTTATCGTCTTACCCAGAACGCGGATGTAATTTATTGTCTTACCCAGGACGCGGATGTAGTTTATCGTCTTATCCACGACGCGGATGTAATTTATCGTCTTACCAGAACGCGGATGTAGTTTACCGTCTTACCCAGGACGCGGATGTAGTTTATCGTCTTACCAAGAACACGGATGTAGTTTATCGTCTTACGCAGGACACGGATGTAGTTTATCGTCTTACCCAGAACGCGGATGTAGTTTATCGTCTTACCCAGGACGGATGAATCTTAGTCATTTAAAGATTCTCTTACACAACACAAAGGAATCTACTAAAAGAAAACAGCATTCCTGCTTTATTTTTTTATCCAGAGGTCAATATTGAGGACTCTACTGACGACAAGCTTACGACCACATCACGTTGAAACACCAGCTCTCGTACGATCACCGAAGTTAAGCAACGTTGAGCCTGGTCAGTATCAAGACGGCAGAATACAACGCCATTCTCATTTTTGTGGTAGGGACGGTAGCTTCGTACCACAGTTTTAATTTCTTTTAAAATTGTTTTGTTGAACTTTTTATCTGATTTAATGGAGTTTCTTTCTACATATTTCTGTACATTAAAAACAAAATAATAACTGTATATATACCATGAGTGTATTATTAGGTCCGTTGTGAAAATACAGTATTTTTGTGCATGATCGAACCGAATGGTGAAGCATTTCTTCTCAGTTGTTAGAACGGATGCGTCTTGAATCAAGCTAGCTAGGAGCAGAATAGTTAATGATGATCCTTCTTGTTATCTGTCTAGAGGCCAGTGTAAGGGTCTTTACTGGCGACCGGCTTACAACAACCACATAATGTTGAAACACCAGCTCCAGTGGTTCACCGAAGTTAAGCCACGTCGAGCGTGTTTGGTATCTAGATGGATGGCCTCTTAGGAATACCAGGTGCTATAAGTTTGAATTTGCCGGTGGTGTAATGGATAATGCTTCTGAATTGAAAATCGGAGAGTCAAGTTCCAATACGTGTCGAGTTCGTTATATTCAATTACGCGAAAATACCATTGGGGAAGTTATGCATCCAAATTTTCTCCCCCAGTTAATCAGTAGGAATTGTATAGGTAAATAATTATTATCTCCAAAAAATTCCTACAAACTAAAAAAATATTTTCTGGCTATAAATAACCTGCAAAAATTTCATAAGACGTAAATCAATCAGTCAATATACTTTATGACGTAGGTATGTATAGTTGGGATAAGAATGCACTTGAACAGAAATCGATATCCTTTAGTGAGTCTTTCCTTTGGGAAGACACAGTAAAGAATATGTTTTTACGATAAAACTTTCAAACACAGAAACTATGGTTTAGAATTGGAATTAATCTAGTGATGGCATCTAAACTTAATCAATCATAAAATTTCAGAATGTGTAATTGTTTTTTAGGAATAAAGTGTCGCTGCCGACGTTTGAGTTTGAACATCGATCGCCAGTGAGCAAACAGAGGCCATCCAATTATCGAATTAAGTAGACCACGTGAGCATAGAGGAAACGCATAAGTAGGAAGTCGCCATTTCTAGACTATCATCTATTACTATTCGGATCGCTATTTCTACTCTATCGTTTATTACCATACGGATCACTATTATCTATACTATTACTATTTCTCTAATTTGATCACTATACAGATTACTATTCGAGCGAGTGATATTCGAAGGCGTCTTACACTAGTATTGTTCAACGGCGTTACTATAGTTGTATCTGAGATTACAAAATCTCTACTACAACGAGCATTATGAAAGTGACAACAAGTATTCGTTGACATCACAGAAGTAATTAATAAATTCTAAAAGCTTCATATACCTTAATGTATAAATCAGTTATAAGAAATTTAATGCAAGAGATAAAGAAATTGAAAATAGATTCGGCGACGCAAGAGACAGTTTTATCGAACGCTACAAGGTGCTAGAAAACCAAAATATTAAACTAAGTGTCATGTTCTTAAATAGTTTCATTAAGTATAGTATTTCATATGATGGTCATGCATGGCCCCCGCCACTTTAAGGAATTTCAAAACTCTCAGCTGTATATAACCGATTTCTTAGATCAATGACTAAAATGGCTTCAATTAAATGAATCCAATACGGCTTCATTACATTGGCCTGCGTTAATTTTTTTTGAAAGATCAAAGTTTTATCAAGTGAGATATGATCGCAATTTTACGCTAAATTAAAAAAATGCCATTCATTGTGTTTGGTCAAATCTGTTTTTTTTTAAAGACGTGCTTGAATATTTCACAACAAATTGTACACAATAATAACATTTATTCAAAGTCTTTGGACTCTGCTTGCTACAGCTCTTCGTGGGTATTTGATGTTTAGTATTGAATATAAAGTTGTATGTGTACCTAACTACAGTGTACCACCCAACTCGCTAAAACCCACATACTCAGAGGGGAGCGGGTCTTATCACTCAGCTTAAAATGATTTTAACGTGCTGTGTCAAGTGTCAACGACGAGCTAAGTGCTGATTTATTTTTTACTCTTTTCAGCTTGACATTTGTATTCCTGTAAGAATGGATCGCAAGTGTAAGAATAACCATGACAGTTTCTGTTATATCAAATGTAGTTCTATCCTAACAGTCAAGCAAAAACCACTATGGAGAAGGCACATTGCGATTACATTGGAGTCAAACTAGCGAATCAAAATAAGTCATTCGCTCCCCACGTTTGCTGTAAAACATGTATGTAGATCTTAAGGGATTGGAGGAATGATAAAAGGAAAAGTATGCCATTTGCCATTCTAAAGGGAAGGAAAATATCGCATTACGGATTGCTATTTCTGCATGATAAATCTAAAAGGAATGAATCGCAAGAACAAGAACCATGTCCAATACCCCAATGTTCCTTCTGCCATGAGATTAATCCCTCATGACCCAGACCTTCCTGTTCCTGAGCCAGATGGTAACATGGAATGTAGCTCTGATTTCGAACATAGTGACATGACTGTTGTAGATGGGGATGGCGCATACAAGCTAGAAGAGGACGACCAGCCAGTATCCTCGACACAAGCAGAACTCAAAGACCTGGCACGAGACCTAAACCTTTCAAAGGACTGCTGGGTCCACGTCTCAAAGAGAAACATGTATTGGCACCAGGAACAATAATCTACTGGTATCGAGATCGTGAGAGAGAATTAAGACAGTTTTTCATGTTCTAGGATAAGTCATCATTGGTTTATTGCAACAACATTGCTGGATTTAGCAAATCAATGAGCTACGGAATGAAGAATTTCTATTGGCTCATCCAGCAGAGGTCTCAAATCAGTTCTTTTACATAATGGGAATAGTTTTTCACCTATACCTAGTGGACATTCAGTACAAACGAAAGAAACTCACAGTAGCATGGATCATTTGTTGCCTGCTGTTAACTACCAGGATCACAAATGGTTGATCTGTGGAGATCTTAAGGTGGTTGGACTTATCCTAGGACTCCAAGGTGAGTACACAACGTATCATTGTTTTCTGTGTCTCTGTGACAGCTGGGCTGACGACCAACATTATGTCAGACAAGAATGGCCGTTAAGACAAGTGTTAAAACCTAGCTCACATAACGTTCAGTCCCACACTCTCGTTGAACCGAACAAAATAATTCTTTCACTCTTACATATCAAGTTAGGATTAATGAAGAACTTTGTGAAGACAATGAACAGGGAAGGCAGCGAGTTTGCTTTCCTCCAGGAGATTTTATCACGGATAAGCATGGAGAACCTCAAAGCTGGCATATTTGACGACCTCCAATATGAGAACACATGAAGGGCCCAATGTTTGATGAAGAAACTGAGCGGAGTTAAACTGTCCGCCTGGTAGCCACTGAAGACAGTAGTTACAAACTTCTTGGGAAACCACCGAAGTGCGAAATACGAGAAGGACATTGAAGAGCTATTGAAGAGTTTCCGCCAACTCGGGGCACAAATGACACTCAAAACTACACTTTCTGCGGTTACACTTGGACTATTTTCCAAACTGTCTCGCTGACTACTGTTGGGGCTTGAAACGGGATAGGGTGGCTGCCGAGCAAATGAGGAAGTCCAAGAAAAGACCTTTCATCCATGAATAGATTCTTTTGTGTATTTTTCAGTTATTATGGCACTGTGTGAGCTTTCTGCAATTATATCAGCCATAAATTTAGCATTATTTGTTTAATTCAAAAAGAAAATAAATAGAGATATAATGCTGTTCTATGCATTTCAAGTAAGAGCTTGTATCTTAAAAACTTGATCTGATTACAACAAATGTGCATGATGTTTGAATTCAGGGTAAAACACTGCCATTATATATCGATCACAGGCCAGTACATATCTATCTATCTATATCTATCTATCTATCTATCTATCTATCTACACACACACACGCACGCACACTCATATATATATATATGTTTATAATCTATTTATCTCGCAGTCTCCCCAAGAATGATTTTAAATATCTGATGACTAACACTTTTTCCCAATCTATCTATCTATCTATCTATCTATCTATCTATCTATCTATCTATCTATCTCATTTCTCTCTCTCTCTCTCTCTCTCTCTTCTCTCTCTCTGTATATATATATATATATATATATATATATATATATATATATATATATATATATATATATATATCCGACCATCTACCTGACTTAGTTTCGGTCACGTTATTTGATATCAACGAAATAATGACATATACAAAATCCAACGAAGCGGTCAACACTATTTCGATTACTGAAAGTGACACAGGCAATTTTCAGTCGATTATATCTGTGCCCACTTGAATACACATGTCATCGTTTTGATTTAATTCTATGGGGTTTTAATCGCAATACAAATAAAAAAGGAATAAACAAAGAAAAAAAACATATTTATTTGCGCATGCGTAATAGAATATAGTGTTGTCATGGACGTGAGTTGATAGCTGAAGCATTGGCTTCAATTACATTTTGGTTCAACATGATTGGCTTCTGAAAATGAAGCTGTCATTTAGACATTGTTCAATATAAAGACGATAAAAGAAAAAAATCTGATATTATAACACTGAGAAAAGGAAAAGAAACTATAGTGTTTCGGTGTTAAGCACACTAACAAGCGAAGACACAAGGACACGAAAACACAAAAATGCATTTGATAGTCAGAGTTTAGATTCCGACTAAAGCTGTTGCGGTAAGGCCTCCGGGAAAGACATGGATTCTTCAAATTTCCGAATCACCTATGGGGTAACATTGTACAGCATGCTGAGCTGGCATACGGATGGGAAATGTTTTTTGTCTGTAAAAATAGAAAGGAGCGTAAGAAAAGCGTGTATCTTCTCACCGGATTTATTTTATCTATACAGCGATGCGAAATCTCAGAGTACTAGAAGTCCTACTAGGATTATTTACGGTGGGGACAATCTTTAAAAAATAAAAGATATACTGATGGCAACAGTTACATAACGAAAACTGCAAGAACTCGTAGACAAGCAGAAAGAATGTTCTAACCATCAATTTTAAGAAGACTGTCCGTAAGTGGTCAGCAGCAACAACAGGCCAGGAAGCAAAAACACTAGTTGCCGATATCAAAATGAAACTAGTATGAAAATATATGTAGGTATTTTTTTCAGGAGAGGACAGAAATTTTGACAGCGATATCCGAAGGCGCGTTGGAATAGAAAATGATGCCTTTCAAAATCTACGTAAGGAAACAAAGACAAAAGAGGTGAAATCCTATGTAATATCAGATTCCCCCACCCATCCCGTATCTGACAGTGAATGCCGGGTAGTTTTCTCACAGAGGAAGAAGAGACTTCAGGTTTATAGAATTGTGGTTCTGAAAAAGGATGATGAGAATAATTTGGCCCGAGCATACGAGGAACGAGGAAGTTTTAATGAAAATGGAAGCAAAAAGTCCACCTATACTTTTCCCACATTTTCGTAATCTGGCAGAAGATAAATAGGTTGTAAACAAATTATAGTTTTCGCTGTTTAACTTTTCATCACTTTACCAATTTTCTTCTAACATCGCTTTTGTTACCACCAATTACATGTTCACCAACTGGAAACCCTACAAGGCTTTAGTATTGGCGGCCAAAATCTTAACAACATAAGATACACAGATGATACAATATTGATAGCAGACACGGAAAAAAATACTAAATCTCCTACAGAAGGTAGCGACAGAGAGTGATAAGAAGGGACTAAGACGATGAGCCCAAAATGCGATTTGCAGGTCAGGAACATTAAAATCAAGCAGACGCGGCAGTTTAAATATCTGGGAAGCGTTTTGACAGAGGACGGTAAGTGCGACAATGAGATCCGTAGACGTATTGGGATGGCCAAGGGCGCATTCCAAAAGCTGGGTATAGTATTGCGGGACGGGGTTTCTTTGGTAACTAACGAAAGAATACTGAGCTCTTACGTGACATTTGTCCTTCTTTACGATAGCGAATGTTGGAGGATTTCCTCAAAGATGAAGAGAGTCGAAGCGACGGAGATGTGATTCTACAGAAGGATGATGAGGATATCATGGACCGAGCGTGTGAGCAACGGTGAGGTATTAGAGAGGATACAGAGAAGTGGGAGGCTTATACTTAACATCAGGAAGAGTTAGCTGATGTTTCTGGAACACATAAATGAGGGCCTGGAGAATCTGATACTCACGGGTCGAATAGGGGGAAAGAGAAACAAAGGACAACAACGCGTTACATACCTGGCGGATTTAAGCAAGTGGATGACAAAACGTGGTCTGGAGGAGGAAGCAGAGGGAAGGAACTTTGTTGAGAGATGCAAGAGATAGAGGGAGGTGGAGCGCCATGATCACCCACGCCCTGAAAAGAACACGGTACATAAAAAGAAAAGAAAAATTGTTTAGTGGATTGTTTCTTTCTTTGATTGGTCTTGTTACATATTTGTTTCCAATAGAATGTAACTATATTTTAGATTCACAGTTTTTTACCACATCCAGTTTTTTGCCGCTTTCTTTTTTTTTAACACTTCAGTATTCTTTACCGATGTTTTTGGTTAATAATGGTCTGTTGCTGCTATACATCCGTTCAAGTTGATTTGTTCATAATACTCTGCGTGCTGTCTGTTGAAACATTACTGTTAAGACTACATTCATTACTTACTTGTCTGACTGTTAATTATGGATTACTTACCGTGATACTTACACATTCTTTCATCTTTCTTGTTTAGCCTTTGTGGTCTTCCGGTTTTCTTTAAATTTAAAACACTTCCAGTAGTAGCAAACGTATTTCGGAAGGTTTGAACACTGTTTTTGGAAATTCCCAGCCGCTTGGCTATCTCTCGTTGAGTCATCTTTCTCTTAAAAGTCAAAACCTTCATCTTTCTCTTGAAAGTCAAAACCTTCATCTTTCTTTCAAGAGAAAATTTAGCCATTATCTTAGTGCAAAAAATCAAGCTAATGTTAAATTACAATGTCTTGCTAAGGTACGTTACAAACATGATAATAAGATAGAACAATTACTACTTAGAAATTCGCATATTATCATGGTTTATCATCTCTGATCTTTAGAGTAATAATTTTGTCAAAGGCATGGCTCTACGTCTGATGACAAGGAAGGTAAGAGAATTCTCTCTGTTATTAATAACAACATACGGTACAAAAAGACGAATGCTATTTAGAGAGGGAATAGGTACCCTCAAGTAACCCCGGTTTAGCAGAAAATGCCAAAAGTGGCCCCAGGACTTTATAGTGATAGTGTCATTTGATTGTTTCAAAATTGTTGATAACTCTTTTGATCTCACTGTAACCTATCTTCATTGAAAAAAAAGGTCTATTATTTCCTGAAATATTGACCCCTTTCTCGCATGCTTTATCTTTACAAGAATAAAATTATTAGTTGTTTAAGCTTTTCGCCAAAAGCAAGGCGGGAGTGCCACTAACACGCAAGGGGTTACCGAGAGTGTGAGCAAGAGTAAAAAGGCGTGGTAGAGGAAAGGATGAAGAGAAAGACGGGGAATTAGATCAAGGCAACTGGAGATGTCGATTAACATTGGATTTGAATAGTTGGAGATTATAGTTATCAGAGAAGCAAGTAAGACGAAGGGAGTTCCACAGACGAGAAGTGCGAGACATTTCAGTAGAAGAGACATTTAACCGTTTCGACATTGAAAGGGAGGGACTGAGATGCCAAACTAGTAGCACGTTTAAATTCATGCAATTTGGGAACTAGCGAAAGTAACTTGTTGGAGCATTTCCCGTGAAAGAATTTGTAGAAAAGACAGAGGGAAGCGACGGTACATCTATGAGAGAACGACTGTAAAGCAATGTCTAGACTGGCGCACCTAAATACTTTCCAAACTTTTCCAGAGCTCAAAATCGTTTACGCGGTCTTGTAGGAGAAAATTTATATTCCACTTTGCAACCTCTTTCCCGTCGCAACTCTGTCGCTATTTTCATGGTAAATGAGCCCTGTTCTTTAGGATACCGTACTAGATCCCAAGAGTCGAATAACCATCATGTTTTCCATGTATCACATGAAAGAAGGAATTTCTACTCAGATTTTTTCCACTAAGAATTTTGTAAAACAGACTCCCACGTGGGTGCTTTCCTGAAGTGCCAAAATCATATTTCCTCCTTATCCTCATAAACTTTACTTTCTATAACCTGCTCTTTATATCACACATCTCATTTATCAAGACTATTTCGGCAGTACCCCTCCACACTGAGTGACTCTGGAACCTTGCATTTGGATAAATTTTATGCAAAAGTCTTATTTGTTGCCTCATTAAAAAGCTTTGCTCTAATAGATAACAGTCATCTTTGGCTTGATTTCCCAGGATGAACATGTATTTAAACTATTAAAAGAGAGAAGTTTATTATATAAAGAGAAAACAAAACTACTTTTACTACTAACAATCATGACTGTAGTAGTGGTAGTAGCAGGACATTTATTTTTACTTTTTATCATGATTTTTCTTTGGTTAATATTTCTTACTAATGTTTTAGTTGCTAATCATCACCGATTGACTTAGCCACTTAGACTACAGCAATGCGTAAACAGTACGGATCCCAAACAAAGAAACGTAATAAGATGTCTGAACGTCCTTCAGACTGTACACACACACACACACACACACACACACACACACACACACACACACACACACATATATATATATATGCTAAGAAACATTTACTTGTGAAAGGTGATTTAACATTCTCTGTCCTGAGGGATGTACCGCAATTTCAGAGTTAACACTAGATATGAAAGATGTCCTTCTGTCTTGACACACAAAATTAATAAATTGGCTTCATACTTCCGTTTCCGATTGCACCAAAATGTCAAGTTCGTTATGAGGTAAACAAAGCGACGCCATTAAAAATCACCCTCAATTAGATTTCTTCCAGGATGTCATGATTATTTTAGATCAAATATAATAAAATCAATGAAGATCGATGGAAGACTATAATAAATTCAGCTCCGGAATTAGAAGTTTTTGGTCTGCGATAAAAAAAAAAAAAAATTCTTTGTTAAAACTCATCTGATTTTGCTTTTTATCCGAATTTCAAAGGAGTCTATAAACAACAGACAGACATTTGTATTGTCTTAATTGGCATAAAG